TTCTTAATATAGAAAGAAAAATATTTAATTTTAGTGAAAATGATCATCATGCACTCGCACCAATGCGAGCGCTTCAAATTTTAACTTGCACACTCTCAGAAAAAGGTTGCAAATGTGACCACCTCGGTCGCAGCCTGGAGCCCTGAGAAGTCCATTTGCTCTTCAACAAAAGTTTTGTCAAAAATATGTTCCAGTCTAAAGCCTAAATCCTGACCTCATGTATGTGTGTTGGTGAGGCAGTGCTTTGTTTTCCAGAATATTTAGAGATTGTTCATTTTTCTCCAGAAGACATTTCCTAACATCCCTGTGTTGGAATAAAAAGACAGCTTTCAGTTGTGCCTCCAGCTTTACTTCAGTTTGCACTGAAGTTGGCTAAACAAATGTTTTATTCTGGGGTGAATTATTCCTTTTCTGTAGTTACTGAGGTGTTTTTTTTGTTTTAGGTCATCTGCCCCATCATGTACTGCAGCATAGTGTACTGGATGACGGAGCAGCCACCTGAGGCCAGCCGCTACCTGCTCTTCATCGCCCTGTCCACCTGCACTGCCCTGGTGGCCCAGTCCCTGGGCCTGCTGGTCGGTGCTGCCTCCACCTCACTACAGGTGCTGCAGGTTTACACTGCTCACTGTGAGACGTCATGTTGTCCTTACTAGTATAAGACAGATTATGTCTTTGCACCCCTTCACAGGTCGCCACATTTGTTGGACCTGTCACTGCCATCCCAGTGCTGCTTTTCTCTGGATTCTTTGTGAACTTTGACACGATCCCCAAGTATCTGCAGTGGAGCTCCTACGTGTCCTACGTCAGGTTTGTACAAAAAGGTTAAATTCACTATAACTATGTGGGTTTACATGTACAGATACATGATCGTCAGACTGTTTGTATTCTGTGTAATTCTTTGAATAACTAATCAGATTTTGGAAACAAAGCAACATAAATAACACAAATTCTGACTCTTAGGCCTAATCCAGCATATTTAGATTATGTCCAGAGAAAACAGAAAAAATATGGCCAGTGAATGTAGTTGTTATTACACACTTTTGTCAGTGACATTACAGGTATGTTCACTTTGATGTCACTCCTAATTAAATGGCTTCGATGATGCGGTTAAACTGCTGGCTTGTCAACCTGTCAGACTGTCTGAACTCTGACCCTTCACACAACAGCACTGTTACTCTTTTCGTGACGACAGACACAAATAGTTCTTTGAAACGGGCCTTTATTGCAGGAGCAGACTTCTCCGTCTCCTTTCACTGTTCGCTTTACTCCGTACACCGAGAGAACTAAATAATAAACAGTGCAAAAAGTGTATTGAAAATAACGTAAAACAATTACAAAGGGCACCGTACAAACCTGTAAACATAAAGTGCATTAACAAATAAAGCAAAATACCTCGATGCACCGCCCGTCACAATACAAGGTTGTTCTGTCTTGTTGGAAGCATCCATT